GCGGGGGGTTTTGCTGGCGTCTGCGCGTGGCTGAGCGGGGTAGGGCTCTCCGAGATGGCCCTGGCTGACAACAGATCCCCCGGGTGGGTGGCCGGGACTCGGGTTGGCGGTCGCGCGCGCCCTCTGGCGGCCTGATGCTCCCGCTCTTCTACGCAGGGATCCGAGTGCCAGACCATGGGGCGGCTGAGCCGAGAAGCCTGGGCCCAGCGCCTGGGCGCCTTTCGGGCCAGCCCGTCGGCTTTCATAGCAGGCCCCGAGGGTGAGGGTTTGGGTCGCGACCTGCTGAGTGACCTGCGGAGCGAAAAGCTGAGCGAACAGACCAAGGTAGGCCCCACACGCGTTCCCTGCCCTGCCGTCTGGACTTCGTGCCCTGACCCACATCTCTCTCAATCCTCCAGGTTTCCTTGCTGGCTCTAAGCTTGGAGTTCCCAGCCCAGCTATGGCCCGATGCGTCTGCGGCAGAGGCCGCTGCTACCTCCCTGCTGGACACCCTGGTCCTCCTATCCCCACGGCCCTCAGCCCTCCGGCGGCCCCTGCTGCTGGCAGCCACCACAGTCCTGGTGGCAGGAGGCGCGCTGGGCCCCACTTCAGGAGCCTCTGGCCGTCTTCTGCCCTTGCTGCTAAGCCTGGCCTCCGGTCGAGGTCCGGGGCGGGGCTTTGGCCCGGCCTCAGAACAGCGCCCTCTGCAGGTCACAGCGTGTGAGTGCTTGCGGGAGCTAGAAAGCTGTCAGCCGGGGCTGCTAGGGGGCTGCCTGGGGCTGCTGCAGGGCCTGCTGGGGCCGGAGGGCCCGGTCCAGCCACTCAGCCTGCTGCTTGCTCTCGTTCTGCGCAATGTCTTGGTGGCACAGGCCAGGACTGGGGCCAGCCTGCAGGGCCTCCTTACAGGCGGGGACTGCCCCACGGGGGATGGCCCCCGGCCCTGGGACTGGACACTAGCCAAAGAAGGGCACGCCCACTTGCTGCCCCAGGCCCCCAGCTGGCCTGCAGCTGAGGAGGGGGAGTGTGGCCTTACGGCTCTAGAACCCAGTCCCGAGGAGGCCCGGGAACTGCGGGCCACTGTGGCTCAGCTCCTGGACGCGTCCTATCTGCTCACTCCTGTGGCCCAGGCCCAGCTTCTGTGGCTGCTGGGCTGGGGCCTTCGAGGCCTGCGGGGCCAGCCACCAGCACTCTTCAAACCGCAGCTGGTCCGGCTGCTGAGTACAGCGCAGCTCACGCTACTGCACGCGGTTCTGGCGCTCAAGGCAGCCTTTGGCGAGGCCCTGTTCACAGCCCAGGATGAAGTCTTGCTACTTCACCGGCTCACCATGGCTGCCCAGCACCCGGCCCTGCCCCCACCCACCCACCTCTTCTACCTGCACTGTCTCCTGAGCTTTCCCGAGAACTGGCCACTAGGCGCTGCGGGAGAGGAGACTATCCCACTGCTGCTAGGGCCCCGGCTGTGCCAGGGCCTCCTGCCTAGTCTTCTGCAGGAACCCATGGCTCTCCTTGCCCACCTGCACTTTCTGTGCCTGCTCTGTGCAGAGGAGGAGGAGGAGGAGGAGAAAGGTCAGGTTCAGATCCTGCGGCGCTACCTGGACGAGCTGCTGGCTGGCCTGCGGCAGAGGGCTGCCCTGGCTGGGGGCCCCCGGGCCTCTGCCGCGCTCTGCTTCCAGGCCTCATACCTGGTTTTCCGCTGCCTGGCCAGGCAGTCCACAGTGCTGACTTCTCTGACCCACGGACTGGCCCAACTGTACCAGGCCAGGCCTGCCCTGGCCCCCCATTTTGTGGACTTCTTGGATCGTGTGGGCCCTGAGCTGGGGGAGCCCCTGAGGGTGTTGTTGCGGCAGGAGGTGGTGTTGGGGACGGGCAGGGATGGGGCCCTTCGCTGGCACCTGCAGATGCTGGCAAGGGTGGCAGACAGGGATGCCCAGAGCCCCACGCTGCGGTTCCTGCAGACTGCAGCCCGCCACTGCACAGACTGGGGCCTGCAGCAGGCCCTGCTGCGGGTCTGCCGGACCCTGCTGCGAGCGGGGGTGGCGGGTCACCTGGCGGATACGCTGCAGGCGCTGGCTGGGCAGCTGGAGGACCCTGACTGTCGAGACCACGCCCGCCTCTACTACTTCCTCCTGGTCCACCTGTCTGGGCCCAAGCTGGGGGCAGCCCTGGGCCCCTCGCTTGCCACGCCTGCACTGGCCTCCTCGCTGGTGGCCGAGAACCAGGGCTTTGCAGCAGCCCTCACGGTCCAAGAAGCGCCGGCCTCCTTGAAGCTGAGCGTGGGGCCCCGCAGGGTCGACGGTCCAGGCCCGGTGCTGCAGCTGCAGTTGGAGGCGCTCCAGCCGCTGTACTCCTTGGAGCTGCGCTTCGGTGTAGAGGCCCAGGTCTACGAGCCCCTGGGGGCCGTGCACGTGCCTTGCCTGCACCCTGGCCGCCCTGCCCGCCCTCTGCCCCTGCCACTGCAGCCCCGGCGCCCGGCCCCCGCGCGCCTCGACGTCAGCGCCCTCTACACCACGCCCACCGGCCGCACGTGCCACGCCCAGCTGCCCCCCCTGCAGGTGAACTTCTCGGACCTCTTCCTGCCGTTTCCGCGGCCCCCAGAGGGGGCAGAGCGGGACTTCTTTGAGGAGCTCTGGGCCTCCTGCTTACCGAAAGGCGCTGAGAGTCGCGTGTGGTGCCCTCTGGGACCACAGGGCTTGGAGGCCTTGGTGTCCCACCACCTGGAGCCCTTTGTGGTGGCCGCCCAGCCCCCTGCCAGCTACTGTGTCGCCATCCGCCTGCCGCCGGCCTCCAGGTTGTTGCTGCGGCTGGGAGCCGCCCACACAGACGGAGTCCCTGTGGCCCTGCGGACTGACGACTGGACCGTGCTGCCCCTCGCGGGGGACTTCCTCCGGGGGTTGTCGGCTGCGGCCTGAGCCCGTGGGAGGGGCAGCTGAGGGGCCGGCCTTAGCCATGTGCGTCCTTTCATAAACCTGCGTTCACCAGCGCCCCTCCCTTGCCGTGTGATCTTTTTGACCCTGGTTACGGCTCTAATAAGACAGCTTCCGGGATGGTGGGATGCGCCGAATTCTCCAGAACCCCCATCTGGGGCAGAGAACAGCCTGCCTCTTCAGTTCCCCCACAGGCGACGCAGCAATTCAGGACCAAGGCTCCAGCGGGAACTTGGGCTTCCTGGCTTCTGGACGGGCGCTTCTTCCAACTCTCAAGTTTGCAGGGCTCCTACCCAAGGGCACTCAGGCTACATGGAATGTAGTCAGTAGCTGGAAACAGGAGGCTGAAGTAGCCGGGTGCCACTTCCCTGGGGCAGGAAGCCTCCCCAGGCTTGGGATCTGTGTTGACTGGAGCCAGTTCTAGGCCGGTTAGCAAGGTTTGACAACTGAGAGAGTGCTACATTTAAAAAAAAAAAAAAGGTTGCCTTCAAGTTAGTTTTGACGCATGGCAATCGTGTGCCATGTGGCCTGGGCTGAAGCTAGCCTGGCTTTCTCTAACCCAAGCCTTCAAGAAACCCAGTCTCTGTTTAGGAGCCCTCCCGGATGAGTCCTGTTGGTTCTGTGAATACAACAGAAAGAAACACTGCCTGGTCCTGAGCTGCTCTTAATCCCTGCTGCGCGTGAGCTCGGGCAGGTACTGTGTCTGTCTGTCTCATTGAGGGCCTTCTCCTTTCTCAGTGACCCTCCACTTTACCAAACATGAAATCCTTCTCCAGGGATGTGTCCCTTTTGACAGTGTGATGAAGTAGGTGAAGCCTGGCCATTCTCACTTCCAAGGAGCATTCCAGCTGCACTTCTTCCAGGGCCGATTTGTTCATTCTTCTGGCAGTCCGTGGTATTTCCAATACTCTTTGCCAACACAATTCAAAAGCATCAATTCTTCTTCGGTCTTCCTTATTCATTCTCTGGCATTCACATGCACAGGAGGAGATTGAAAATACTGTGGCTTGGGTTCTTGTTGTTATGTGCCATTGAGTTGGACCTGACTCACAGCGACCCCTCCTTGGGTTGCCAAGGCAGTATCACTACGGAATAGATTGCCCAACTTTCCTTCCGAGGAGTGGCTGGTGGATTTGAACCACCAGCCTTCTGCTTAGCAGTCAAGTGCCTTAGGCACTACGCTACCAGAGCTCCTGTGGCTTGGGTTAGGTGCACCTTAGTCTTCAAAGAGACATCTTTGCTCTTTAACACTTTAAGGGGATCTTTTGCAGCAGATTTGCTTGTGTGGTATGTTGCCTGATTTCCTCACTGCTGCTTCCATGGGTGTTGATTGTAGATCCGAGTAAAATGAAATCCCAGAAAACTTCAATCTTTTCTCCATTGATCATGACGCTGCTTATTGGTCCAGTTATGAGAATTTTTGTCTTCTTTATTTTGACGTGTAGTTTTGGACCTTTGAAGGCTGTAGTCTTTGACCTTCACCACTAAGTACTTCAAGTCTTCACTTTCAGCAAGCAAGGTTGTGTCATCTGCACATCGCAGGTTGTTAATGACTCTTCCTCCAATACTGACGCCACATTCTTCTTCATATAGTTCAGCTTCTCAGGTTACTTGCTCAACATAGAGGTTGAGTAAGTATGGTGAAAGGATACAACGCTGACGCACACCCTTCCTGATTTTAAACCACACACTATCCCCTTCTGTTTGAACGACAGCCTCCTGGTCTATGTGCAGGTTCCTTGTGAACAGAATGAAGTGTTCTGGAATTTCCATTCTTCTCACTGTTATCCATAATTTGCTATGATCCACACAGTCGAACACCTTTGTATAGTCAATAAAACATAAGTGAATGTCTTTCTGGTATTCGTGCTTTCAGCCAAGATCCATCTGACATCAGCAATGATATCACTCGTTCCACATCCTCTTCTGAATCTGGTTTGCATTTCTGGCAGTTCTCTGTCAATATACTGCTGCAAGCATTTTTGAATTATCTTCAGCAAAATTTTGCTTGTGTTTGATATTAATGAACCTGTTCAATAATTTCCTCATTCTGTGGGATTGCCTTTCTTTGGAAGGGGCACAAATATGGGTCTCTACCAGTCGGTTGGCCAGGTAGCTGTCCTCCAGATTTCTTGGCATAGATGAGTGAGCACCTCCAGTGCTGCATCTGTTTGTTGAAATATCTCAGTGGGTGTTCCGTCAGCTCCTGGAGCCTTGTTTTTCACTAATGCCTTCAGTGCAGCTTGGACTTCTTCCTTCAGTACCATCAGTTCTTGATCATATGCTACATCCTGAAATGACTGAGCATCAACTGATTCTTTTTGACACAGTGACTCTATGTATTCCTTCCATCTCCTTTTGATGCTTCCTGCATCGTTCAGTATTTTGCTGGTAGAATTCTTCGGCACTGCAATTCAAAGCTTGAATGTTTTCTTCAGTTCTTTCGGCTTGAGAAATGTTGAGCGTGTTCGTCCCTGGAAGAACTAGCCCCATATTTTCAACTATGCAGACACTTTGGATTATTGAGGCCAATAATTATTTTGGTTTATTGAGGTCAACTCTGCTGCCACAGACCAAGCTGGTGTTTTCCACGTATATTGCTTCACTTAATTCTTGCAACAGCCCTGCAAGGCCTTGCAGATGAGGAAATCTGTAGGTCAGAGAGGTCGAGTGACTTACCTAAGATCATCCAGCTGGTTGGTACTGATGTTTTGCCATCTGTAGCAAGTTTCCATTCCCTCAGCAACAGATCAGCTCTGCAGGGGCCACAGGGACGCAGAGTCCTCAGCCCTGTATCTCAGTCAGCCCCCAGGACCTGAGGAGGGCAGGTTGCAGTGCCAGCTGGGAGAACAGCCAGAGGCCGGACTTCAATGTTTTGCAGAAATGGTTAGCTCTCTGCTGCCCCTACCTGTCTGGCTTCCAGCCCCCTGGACCCTATGAGCCAATCTTGTCCCCTCCCCACCAACTAGAATGATCTAGGAAAGGAAAGATGGCCTGGGACAGTGTGAGCTGTTACAGGTAGGAGTCAGGAAACCTGTCCCAAGCTTGAGCTCTGACTGTAATTTGCTCTATGACCTTGGGTGAGTCCTTGCCAAATCTAGAAAGATCCAGTTGTAGGAAATAGAAACTTCTCCAGCAGAAAGAGATCTAAGACAGAATTCAAAACAAAAAGAACTCACTGCCATTGAGTTGATTCTGACTCAGGGTAACCCCCATTGGGTTTTCCAAGGCTGGAGCTCTGGTAGCATAGTGGCTAAGGCACTTGACTGCTAACCAGAAGGCTGGCGGTTCAAACCCACCAGCCACTCCTCGGAAGGAAGGTTGGGCATTCCTACTTCTGTAGTAATACTGCCTCGGAAACCCAAGGAGGGGTCACTATGAGTCAGGGCCGACTCGATGGCAAACAACAACAAAATCTTTACAGAAGCAAACTGCCTCATCTTTCTTCCACGGAGCAGCTGGTGGGTTCAAACCACTGACCTTTGGTTAGCAAAGTTAACCACTGCACCTCCAGAGCTTAAGAAAGAACCAGGTGCTTACAAAGGTTCTGGAAGGCCTGGGGAAGTGGGCATCCAGGAAACCACTACAGTCGCTGAATTCCAGAACATACTGCCATGCCTGCCATTCAGCTCCTCAATATACCCAGGAAGCTGGGGCTGGACAGTGGAACCTAGACTTGGGGTGGCCACTGCTGCCTTTGGACACCCACAAAGCCAACCAGCCGGTACTGCTGACCTTCTCCATCCCTGGGCCTGCAGGCAAATGGCTACAGCTTCCTTTCCTCCATCCACTTTGTTCAGCTAATTAGTGGAATCTATTTCTCATGGAAAGCTCTAGTAGCAAGGGAGTCTGGGAAATGTAGTTGTTTTCAAGTTCAAATGCAGAAGATGATATTCATTATTAGCCTAAGAGTAAACTAACTGGCCCATGTAAACACTGACCATCCATCTTTTCATCCACCTGCCGACTCATCCATGCAGCCATCCCACTTTATCCATCTACTCTTCCAGCGCTGGACACCAGTCAACGTCCAACTCAACCTGCACAAGCGTGCAGCAGTGAACATTCTTATAGAGGCCCATATGGACCTGCGTGGCAACTTTTTTTGGGACACAGACCAGGAGCAGAATTGCTGAATCATAGGGCAAGGATGAGAACCCAAATATGACCTTGATTATATCCCACCTGAATTTAGGGACCATCTGAAGAATGGATTATATGCATTTGAACATCAGTGACTGGAAACCAGACAAGTTATGGGATGACATCAAGAACATCATACATGAGAGCCTGGTGGATCCACTGAGACTATGGCCGCTAGCTGCCTTTCAGGTCTGGAATTGAACTCACACCTGTGGCTGCCAGCCCAAACAAAAGACAGGCATAGGA